CTGGATTCACAAGCGCAGGGATGGACATCCCTGCCCCACTCTGCCACACGTCTGGTCCACTGCAAATACGCACTCAGGGGAAAGGAATGAGAGCAAACCTCTTCTTCCCCATGTTTAGGCAGACCAAAAGCAGACCTGCAGCCATTTCCATGGCTGGTGCACTGTACGTTGTTTGGCACATTATGCTGCTGTGCCCAGTTGACTCTCCATACTCCGAGACCACCATGGAAGACATTCATAGAACCATGGAATGGTTTGGGTTGGAAGGGACCTTCAAGATCATCTCGTTTGAAGCCCCCTGCCATGGGCAGGGACACCCTCCACTACACCAGGTTGCTCAAAGCCTCATCCAACCTGGCCTTGAACACTTCCAGGGACGGGGCATGCTGACATGTGTCACCCCTGGTCCGTGCCATGATTGGCCTGCATGCACACGGTGGTCACAGCTGAGGACCACTAACTCAGCTGGGTGTTCAAGCCTTGGAGATCAATATGGGATGTAAAACAGGACAGGAGGAGACAGCAGCGAGGCTTAAGGTCCCAGCTGAGCCCATCCAGAGCTTGAGCTTGGTGCTGGGCTCAGGCCAAACAGATTCTTCTCCCAATTTTGGGGTTTTCCTGACTCCTCTTCCAGCTCTGATCTCAGCCTCCACGTCGGCTTCCAAACCCTTCCTGGAACACACCGCCCAGGAAGCTGGAGAGGGAGGCAAGGAGCACCCATACAGGCTCCAAGTGATCTCCAGTGTTTACCTGCTCCCCAGATACCTGGGGCAGAGTCCAGAGCACTGGCAGCCAGCCTCAAAACAGATCCTGTTACGGCTGCGACACAGCCTTCCCCCATCCTGCTCACATGCCTTAAATGTCAAGGCTTCCAGCTGCCCGTTGGCCTCTGCACCAGAAGAAAAGTTTCTTGGCCTTTAGCAATATCACAGGAATGCAAACACAGCGGAGCTCTGCCCTCGGAGCAGCGCAAACCGCGGCACCAAACGCGGGGGCGAGAGGCAGCTTTCCTCAGCCCACTTACTAAATATGGTGCTTCTCCTCCGCGGCAGCGGAGAAGCCCATGTGCTGCTGCTAGGAGAAGGAGGTGGAAAGGAAAACGTCTCCTGCCATCTAAGGAGGACCTGGCAGGGTCCTCTCCTGGCTACAGGCTCCCCCGTCCCACCACAGCAGGAGCTGGGGATGGAGCACGCGGTCCTGTTGAGAAAGATCAGCTCTGGTTACGGGGTCCGTGGCTGCCAGGCTAATGGGCTGGTGTTGGAGTTGTCTCTGCATGACCCTGGAGCTCATCAGGAGCAGCGCTGCATTCCGACAGACCCTCCAGGAGAGGAATGTGGGCACTTTTACGAGAATATTTAAAGAGCTTTGTCCTAGGGGCGCGAGCGAATGATCTCAGTGGCATCTGTCTTTCTCTCCCACCGCGCTGGGTGGATTTAGAGCTCTAACCTAAGCTTTCCCAGTCCCTCATCTGTATTAGCCACAGACACTTTGAGTGGTAGCAGAAAAATTCTTTCCTGGTCTGCTTCCTAGAAATCAGCCCCCAGCTCTTGGCTTTCTGCATTGCAGAAATTCTGAAATTCCAGCGCACCATGCTAACCGAGTTAAGGACCCTTGTTTTTCTAAGAGCGGTCGAGTTGCTCCACGGAACAATTAGACCAGAGCTGCTGCTACTTTCAGCGGCCAGACGCTCTCATTGCTGTCGACTCGGTTGGATCGATGCCACCGAGTCAATCACCAAGTCACTCCCTGAGCCCATCTCCAGTTCTGACACACTGTGGTAGGTTTGGCTCCTTTTTTGATTATTTTTTTTTTCTTGGCAGATCAGGTCAAAGGACTTGTTTTTCTTCCCTAAAGATAATGGCTTCAAGTTCCCTGATGAGGCCCAAATGTAGCCCTGGGGAACAGGCTGGGAATGCAGGAGCTGGGTGCAGCTCAGCATCACCCACAGCCCCTGGCACAGGACTGGGAAGGGCAGCAAGCCATGGTCTGAACTGGAGAGCCCACGGCCGGGCTGGGCAGAGCTGCTGGGGTTCGTGTGGTGTGTGATTATGTGCACCAGCAAAGCATGGGGACAGGAGCCCTGGCTGTAGAAGGCTCTGACCACTCCCTGGTGACTTGTTTCCATGAGCAGACATGGGATGACCTTCTTCCCCACTTTGGCTGTGTATTCCCTTCTCAAAGCAAAGCCTTTTGCCTGATTTCGTGGCTCCTGGAGGCCTGCCCCGCGCTCTGGCTGCCAGCATCCC